TCTCATTGCAAACCTCTGAACCTTTTCCAGTTTGTGTGTGTGTGTGTGTGTGTGTGTGTGTGTGTGTGTGTGTGTGTGTGTGTGTGTGTGTTCAGTGACTTCCTGGTTGTTAGGACGCTGTGAAGGGAGTGCCATGGAGTGCCTTGGTGGAGTGACCTTCCGAAGGAGGATTATATCTGGCACCGGATTGTTCTAATGTTATCGAGACCATTTCGGATTTCGTTAACCTGTTTTGTGAAAGGTAGAGCGGTGATGGCTTCCCTACGGTGTAGGTGGCTTGTCCTCGTATCCCAGCTCCTTGTCCTCGTATCCCAGCTCCTTGTCCTCGTATCCCAGCTTCTTGTCCTCGTATCCCACCTCCTTGTCCTCGTATCCCAGCTCCTTGTCCTTATCCCACCTCCTTGTCCTCGTATCCCAGCTCCTTGTCCTTGTATCCCAGCTCCTTGTCCTCGTATCCCGGCTCCTTGTCCTTGTATCCCAGCTCCTTGTCCTCGTATCCCGGCTCCTTGTCCTTGTATCCCAGCTCCTTGTCCTCGTATCCCAGCTCCTTGTCCTCGTATCCCAGCTCCTTGTCCTCGTATCCCAGCTCCTTGTCCTCGTATCCCAGCTCCTTGTCCTCGTATCCCAGCTCCTTGTCCTCGTATCCCAGCTCCTTGTCCTCGTATCCCAGCTTGTCCTCGTATCCCATCCCAGCTCCTTGTCCTCCCCAGCTTGTCCTCGTATCCCAGCTCCTTGTCCTCGTATCCCAGCTCCTTGTCCTCGTATCCCAGCTCCTTGTCCTCGTATCCCAGCTCCTTGTCCTCGTATCCCAGCTCCTTGTCCTCGTATCCCAGCTTGTCCTCGTACCCCAGGTCCTTGTCCTCGTATCCCAGCTCCTTGTCCTCGTATCCCAGCTCCTTGTCCTCGTATCCCAGCTCCTTGTCCTCGTATCCCAGCTCCTTGTCCTCGTATCCCAGCTCCTTGTCCTCGTATCCCAGCTCCTTGTCCTCGTATCCCAGCTCCCTGTCTTCATATCCCAGCTCCTTGTCCTCGTATCCCAGCTCCTTGTCCTCGTATCCCAGCTCCTTGTCCTCGTATCCCAGCTCCTTTTCCTCGTATCCCAGCTCCTTGTCCTCGTATCCCAGCTCCTTGACCTCTCACCCCGGCTCCTTGTCCTCGTATCCCAGCTAGTTGTGTGTCGATAACCAGGAATGATGTAGAGGTTTCGACTGCATGCACCTTGTTTGGGTTTGTGTTGTGGTGTTTTTCGCCTCTAATGTTCTTAGTCTTGTGTTGTGTTGTGGCTGTGTTTAGCTGTGTTGCCATGGTAACCAAACACGCCAGGGATGAGGGCACAACAACACTGCTGGGAGTGGATCCCTGGTTGGCTAACATGGACTCTGATTGGCTAACATGGACTCTGATTGGCTAACATGGACTCTGATTGGCTAACATGGACTCTGATTGGCTAACATGGACTCTGATTGGCTAACATGGACTCTGATTGGCTAACATGGACTCTGATTGGCTAACATGGACTCTGATTGGCTAACATAGACTCTGATTGGCTAACATGGACTCTGATTGGCTAACATGGATTCTGATTGGCTAACATGGACTCTGATTGGCTAACACTAACGCTGATTGGCAAACACGAACGCTGATCGGTTTGGATCCGAGATTGGATAACACGAGCACTGATTGGATGGAGCTGAGATGGGATAAGACTACCATCCAGGGATTATCTTACATCCTCCTGTACCTTCCTGTGATCTCCCAAATATTTCACGTATGGGTTAGGTTGGGTTAGGAGATAGTGAGGGGGGGGGGGATGAGGCTGTAGGAGAGGGAAGCGTGAGGGGCTAGGCGTGAGGGGATGTGGAAATGTTGGGTCTCTGATGACTTCAAGGCAAAAGGCGGTGATGAGTCGCATGATTCTCTCTAGCAGGGCTGGAACGTTCAGTTCTTCCCTCATGTTGATGATTCCTGTACATCTTGGGGCACCAGGAAGTACCCTTATGGCTTCACTCTCTCTTCTCAAGTTGATTGAAGACAAAGGGTAATTAGAGTTCAAGGTATGATAATCAACTGTAGGGATCTAGCAAACATTATGGAAATAGTCTAGCATCTTTAACATCGATTCCAATATTTGCTATAACCCCATGTTATTGTTGTGAGCTGCTCCCAGGTACTTGTGCCCTCCTCACCTCTCAATGTTCTGCTTCTGAACTTGGAAAGCTAAAGGGACAAGTCTGGATTTTGTTGTGGAGATAATATGAGCGCATTCAACGCTTATAGTGGCAGGGGAACCAGGTAAAGCTTATAGTGGCAGGGGAACCAGGTAAAGCTTATAGTGGCAGGGGAACCAGGTAAAGCTTGTACTCGAAGTTGGTTCTTTGCATTAAGGCAAATGTCAGCATATATTTGACATCAACAAATATATGACAGGTTCATCACCTAGTGTGGGTAATGGCAGTTTCTAATTTGTGCATCAGAACATTATTCAATTATTCTAGTCTGC